CTATAATTGAACTCTTAACCAGAGCTAACTTAGAGTCATTATCTCTCAGCAATCGGCATTCTCGACTAAAATTTTTCTATCAATTAATAAATGGGCATTATAGGAAGGGCCTGCCTCACCTAATAATCTTCTCATCAGGGTACGCCACTCGACGGAGGCACGCGCTAACAATAACTCATTTTACGGTCGCATAATAATTGCTTCGAGTACTCTTTTTTTTCACGAACGGTGACTGATTAGAATAGCCTTTCTGAAAGCGCTGTTATGGAGCCATTGTTGTCTTTATTTGAATCCCTCCTAAATTACTTTTGTCCATCTGTAAAATATTTGTTCTTTTGTTTCTGCGAGTTGTTTGCTATGTTGTAGGCCTGCATGCCTTGTTAATCAAATGTACCCGCCTGCTAAAATCGCTTTCAGAGATTACAGTATCAATAAATAAACAAAAAATATCACTCTCTGTACTTTCATATTGTAGATTGCAGTAATCTGTCTTCTGAAGGTCGCACTCGGCGCCCCCATGCGGTATGGGTACACAGTCAAAAGTCCGGGCTTGTTGTCGATAAGATACGACCTGAAAGTTTCAGTTCGTTTCCAGCCGTATTCACAACTTCCTCCCTCGGCACAGAAGCTACTGGCAGTTTAGGTAGGTGCACATTTTCTGTCGTACACAAATGTTCAAGTCGAATTACTTTTACTCGTACTTGGCTAGATGGTCTGTGCCACTCAACAGTACTGCAGAGTGATATTTTAGAGCACTTCAAGAATGTTTGCAGCATTCCCCAAATCACGCGTCTGCGTGCCGACAACCCATTGCAAGCACTCGTGTAAACACCACGTAAGAAGTGCGGCTGGGATTTCCGTCGGGAAGAACACCTGTCGCTCTGCACACCCGCAGTACTTTTGGAGCAGAAGTGCATTTATGGGTCAAGCCTGGGCATTCAGCTGGCTGAAGGGAGAGAAAGGGGGGGGGGGGGGGGGGGGGGGTCTCATGAGACATGGCGTTACGGTATTTTGTTGACAGAATATTTGCTATCTCACCAAAAACTAAACTTTTGGCTGTTGTATATCAATGATTGTATTACAGCGAAACTGTCTATGGCTAGGTTCTGGCAGATCGTCTCGGGGTCAGCTAGACCAAGAGTAAACAAACAATTTTGTACAGTTAATGCTGCAGACGCCGGCGCCCACACGCGCACGCCTTTCCCGTATAAAAGATTCGAAGTAAAGTACCAAATTAAAGCGTTGACGAACGCGCGTGCGAGACGCCATTTATTTTAGGCTTTTACTTTAGAACAGTTACTGGTGCAGACGCCGGCGCCGCACGCCTTTGCCGTATAAAAGATTAGAAGTAAATAAGAAAAATAAAGCTTTGACGACCGCGCATGCAAGATGGCATTTCTTTTAGGCTTTTGCTTTGGAACAGTTCGTAGGCACATGCTTGCGCTCCTTGTCAAGTGCATTCATGCTCGTTATTTGTCCCTATTAATACTGCAAATGTCGGGTAACATCGAAACAAACCCAAGACCAACTGTGGAGGCGCAGTTAAGTAGCATTCTCGAAAATATCACCAGGATTAAAAAGAGCCAGATCGATGTGATTGCCGAGCTAGAGCGGGTTCAGAGCGCTCAAAAGACCACCGATGAAAATGTGAGTGAACTTTCTGAGTGAGAGCTCTCGAAGCCCAGTTTGTCGCAGTAAAGGCCTCTCCTGTAGGCGTTGTCTTGACCATGAGGCCTCTGGCGGTATTGTGTCGGAACTTTGCAACAACGCTGAGAATATACTGCGGAGGTCAAATCTGCTGTTTTTTGGCATTCCGGACTCCCAGACCGAAATATGGGTGCAATTGGAGGAGAAGGTGATCCGGCTTTGTGCACAAAGCCCGGGCGTAGACATAAGCCCCGATAACCTTGAACGAAGCGTTCAAGGTTATCGCCGGCTGGGGAAGTTCTCGGCGAACAAAAACCGACCGATTATCGTGAGATTCTTGCGCTTCAAGGACAAGCAGAAAGTTTTGTTCTCTGGAGGTGAACTAAAGAAAACTCAGTACGCGGTGCATGAGGACCGATCGCTTCCAGTGCACACGGCTCGTACTAAACTCTTTAATTATGGTAAATCACTGAACTCCCTGATCAAAATTCGCTTTGAAGAACTGTACGTCAATGACCGGTGCTTCCGGCATGACTCTGCGGCCGACTCTGTCACAAAGGTTCCTAAATAACAGCGAGGACCTCTCAATGATCGGTCACCGCCGCCCGTCACTACTCGACGTATAGACGTTTGCAAGTCCGGCTTCAGGGCGCTGCCATCTTGCTCGACTGGGGATGCGTTTGGACACGTCATAATCCGATTACGAAGCCTTGCTAAGGCGCCGTAATCAGATTATCGCCGCGCCCAAGAGCGCACCCCACTGAGCAAGATGGCGGTGCCCTAAGACCGGAGTGGCAAACGTGTATAAAGATGTCGAACCATATATGGTCACGTTCACTTGTATCCGTAGCCTCCTTGCCAAACGTCTGTGTTTACATTAGAAGACGCCGACGTCCCTATATTACCAGCACTGCCGTGCGAGTCTATGAACTTATTGTCATCTCATGCGCTGGAATAGCGAAGCTTCTTGACAACTTGAAATATACATCCTCTGGAGGACCTGACGACATCAGCCCCAAAATTCTTCACCACACCAAAGCAATATCTAGCGATTTTTTCTACTTAATATTCTCACAGTCACTATAGCAGGGATGCCTACCATCTGACTGGAAACTGGGTAAGGTCGTTCCAGTCTTTAAAAATGAGAATCGTTCTTCGGCTTCGAATTATACCGTCCTATATCTCTAACATGCGTAGCCTCAAAATTTCTAGATATTATTATCTACTCAGACGTTGTATCTGACCTTGAGAGAAATATCTAACTTCTTTTACAAGCAACACGGTTTTCGTAAGGGACTGTCTTGCGAGACGCAGCTCGTAGAATGTATCCATGAGTTAAACTAATCTCAAATCCAACCACCAAACTGATGCGCTATTTTTGGACTTTTCGAAAGCTTTCGACCGCGTTGCCTGTTGTTACCTGCTTGCCAAACTTTCATGTCTCGGAATTGACCCTTTCATTCTCTCCTGGATCCGGGATTTCCTCTCCTTCGCGCTCAATTCACCGCAATTAATAGTTCCTCATCCACCCGCGCTGAGGTTACCGTGGGAGTTCCCCAGGGGTCAGTTCTTGGTCTCCTACTTTTTCTTATCTTTATTAATGACTTTCCAGGTAAAATGTCCTCAAACATCCGCCTTTTCACTGACGACTGTGTCCTATCTTGAAGGATAGTTTCTTTTGAAGACCATCTTCTACTTCAAAGTGACCTAGACTAAATCTAGGCACGGTGCACCAGGTGGTTAACGACACTAAACAAATCAAAATGCGAGTCAGTACAGTTTTCACGAAAACGACAAGGATCTCAGTTCTCGTACAAATTAGGAAATAACTAAGTCGAAGACGTCCCGTCCTATTAATAAATGTGACTCTAACTAGCGATTTCACCTGAAACGCTCACATCGAGCTTATATACGCTGAGGCATCTTGCTACCTCGGCTACATAAGTCGCAACCTAGAATCGGCTCCCCATTCGGGCGAAATTGGGCAAATGAGACATACAATCGACCCAAATTGGAATATGGTGCGGCCATTTGGAGCCCTCACCAAATATACGTATTAAATTATCTCGAGGCAGTCCGGAACCGTGCTCCCAGGTTTATTTTGAAGAAATACGATTGGTCAATTAGTGTATCTGCCCTAAAGAGGGAACTGACCCTTCCTTTACTAAACGTCCGCCGCAAGGAAGCGAGACTCTGTCTCTTTCACAAATTTTACTACTGCCTCCCTGCGCTCCGAGACCCTCTCCTCCTACCGTCCAGACGACCTTCATCGCGGCTAAATGACCCGTGTCACGTTTCCCGCATCTCAGGCAGCGCATCTTATTTTAACTCCTCCCTCTTCCCCCGTACTATTGTAGACTGGAACGACCTCCCCTCGCTGCGGAGGGACCCAGGCGGATCCCACAGCATTTCGCAACGCTCTTTGTTCTCATTTCTCTTGATCCACACTGTGCCGTTCTATTTGTTTGTCTTGTGTTTACTGGTTGCCATGTATCGTACGTTTTCATCCTCTTAATATGCTCCTCATGTACCCAGACTAATTTGTGTATTGCGGTTACCTTTTGCTCGTGGCGATGGCCACGCTATTTTGCAGCACCCCATGTATTCGCATGTTGTTGTTACTGTTTTATGCTCTCCTGTCATGTACCCCCCCCCTCTTATGTAATGCCCTCAACGAGGGCCTTTAAAGGAACTTGTATAAATTGAATGAATTAATGCTGCAGACGCCGGCGCCCCACGCGCGCGACTTCCCCCACGCGAGGCGTCTCTCTCCCCCGACATTGCGCAATGCCGCGCGCTCTTCGGCGGCCACCTGCCGAAGATCGCGCAACTGTCCTTATCAGTTGGACTTGAAACTTCACATAGTCGCACCCGTGTTGTACGTTCCGAAGAGAAACAGCTCTGGAGTAGGAACGTCGGCGCGCCCAGAAGTGAGAATGGGCACGCCGCCAACGTGAAACCGCCATTGCCGCTGCTCCCAGCCCGACATAGCAAATTGCACCAGAGCGCCAACTTTGCTGGACTTCCCTCTTCAGGGGGTGAAGGGCCCTCAATTTTTTTTTAAACAAAGTCGACATTGGGGAGCTTACGGGGGGCGGTCGTCCTTCCCTCCCCCCCCCCCCCCCTAAATCCGCCCGTTTTGGAGAGCGCCTGTTTCTGGCATTACGGCGCAATTGGAGCAGCCGCTGCTTTCCTGTAAACACCAACTTTGTTACAAAAGCTACTGGAAGGCTGGTCTTCCAGTGAGCGTCAAGCAACTGTATCTGTTGTAGCAATGTTATTGGTTTATGACTTTGTATCATTGATTTGTGGTTTTGACATCTTGCTTACATGATTTCAAATGTACACCACAGGTTCTCTGAAGAAGAAACCTGCACGATTCACATATTTCTTTCAATTCCACGGACGGAGTAATGGCAGGCCGCAACCTTGCCCCTGTGGAAATGGAGTCCTTCAGAGTAGCCGGGTTCTCCGACGCCCTAGACTGGAGGCCCACGCTATTCCAAGATCCCATCATTGCGCAGAAAACGTGTGCCCTCTGCGGGGTTTTGTACAGGAAAGCGGTCAGGCTGCCCTGCATCCACACGCTGTGCACGAAGTGCCATGCCAAATGTGTCGACGAAGGAAGTGCGTGTCCTGTCGACCGGAAACCCTTCTGCGAAGATGATGTTGAGCAGCTGGAGGTCCCTCTCAAGTACATCCTGAACCGTACTGTGAGTACATAACCTCCCCCTCACGGTTACAAGTTACGCTGTCCACTCTTCTTTTCTGCCCGAGTGTATCGGGCACTGAAGTGTTGCATGTACGAGTCTGTACCCGATGAATTACTTTGTGGGCCATCCTTCAAAAGCAGAAAACAACCGTGAACTAGTGACATAAGAAGTGGTTGGCGAGCAAAACGGGGTGGGGTTTCTACGTACGAGTGCACTAACAGTATTTGCACCATTTTTCTGCTTCCTTCACTGTCATTAACAACCTTTCCTAAGTTCCTATATAACTAGCATAAACATTCTGTAATCAAAAGGAAGCTCATCGAATTTCAATACGTTTTCTTTGGCCCCAGGTTGCCTGCTGGAACGCACCTAAAGGCTGTAGCTTCGTTGGTCCTGTGGCATGCCTGTTAAACCACTACAAGGAATGTGACTTCAACGTCGTGCCTTGCTGCCTGTGTCGCTCAACAGTGCTGCAGGGTGACATTTTAAAGCACTTCAAAAATGGTTGCAGCATTCCCCAAGCCACAAATCTGCCTACCGACAACCCTGCCACGCAAGACCTTAGGAATGTCAGCAGAGCTTGTCTCGAGATGAACATTGCCATAGGGAAGATCTCCGAGGACATCATGTCACTGCAGTCAACTCTGAACCGGTGCAGTGAAGATGTGAGAGCTGAGGGTGCAATATGCAAGGGCCAATTAGAGGCTGAAGTTTCTAGGCTCACTGAGCAGCTGAATAACCTTAGTACAGTCTGTGCCACTGAATTCAGTGAGGGACTGCAGGTTCTTCGGGAAGCGATGGCCGACTACAAAAAACATGTGAGTGAGGAGCTTTGTGTGCAAAGGGACAGGCTGACTGAAGTCTTGGATGTAGTGAGCAAAAGTTTGCAAAGTCCTTCTAAGCCCGAGACAATCCATTGGTACATTGAACACTGGACAGACCTGAAGAATGAAGCACTTAGAAGTGGCTTGAAGTACTTGGAGTGTTCAAAGAGGACCATGTATGATTACAGCGTATCCCCATCTATCCATCTTAGACGCATGGGCGAAGAGGTAGGCCTCGGGTGTTTCATGAGTTTACACCCCGGGGAACATGACTCGCAGCTGAATTGGCCCTTCAGCAAGGTGTACACGGTCGGTGTCATTCACCCGAAGGGCCAGTCAAGTATGATTTCCTACAAGGTAAATGCTGACTGGTATAAGCATCTGGGAAACTTCCAAAGGCCAAAGAAAACAAGTAATAGAGGCTTTGGAATATGGTGCCTGTCCACAACCGAAGATCTAGAATATGACGGGTTTATCGAGAACGATACGCTTCATGTGTTTTTGGAAATTGAACCGTAGGCTTCGTCTTCAACCTCAGCAATCCAAAGCTTGATACTGTTCAACTCTTCCATTGTAACCTTGTCGAAAAATGCAGAAAAACGAGTAGGAAAGCAATGCTTCCCTTGCGTATAATGCTATCTTGTGGGGTTGTGAATAAACTGAGTTACTTTGAGTGGCATACTCTTCCACATTCTCATTTTTGTAATTGAGTTCTTTCTTCTGGGAATCAGAATATTCTATAGTTGTACGATTCCATCCTGCTCCGTGCTCTTTGTGTTGTGGGCAGTGATAAAATAATAATAATAATTCCTTTATTTTTCCAACAAAAGGTTGAAAGGTGACTAAGGAGAAAAGCTGTAAAAACGGCTTGACTGGCCCCAAGCCACCCCAAACAAGCAGTCGCAAAGCAAGCACCAGAGGAATTACACAATGAAGCTTTACAAATTCATAAACATAAATGAAAAATCATCACACAAAAGAAACAGCGTTTTACAAAGCAATAACACATTGAATCAACACACACACAGTGCATTCTAACTAAGCGCGACACAATCAGCGCTCATTGTTGATAATGAGGTTTGAAATAAAATATTCCCTTAAAATGCTCACCGATGTACTGTTGATACCTATATCTTGCCTAGTCAGCTGATTAAGGATATTTGGTAAAGTATATGCCATAGTTTGATTGCTGTAATTAGTTCTAGAAAATGGTACTTCCCAGGATTTCTTAGTCCGTGTTGGATACGTATTTACTTTTTGTTTTAGGTTCGCTAGGTTGTCTAGGCGACGCTGGGGTAGACTTTTTCCATAATATATTTTGCACATAAACGATATTTGTATAAATCAAAAACGTTTGATATACTAAATTGACCGAAAATATCACAAACTGGATATTCAATGTCAACATTACATATACTTCTTAGTATCTTTTTTTGCAACATGTATATTTTCTGGAGGTTGGTATAGGTTGTGGTGCCCCATATGAAATGACCATAATTTAAATGAGAATAGAATAATGAATTATATAAAATTAACTTTGTTTTGAGTGGTAAGATATGTTTATTACGATATACAATACCGACTATACTAGATAACTTAGATATAATATAATTGATATGGGCATCCCATGATAGGTTTCCTTGAAGAACGACGCATAAGGTTTTAAATTTGGGAACAATTTCAATTTGAGTAGAACTTAAAAAAATGTTCCTAGTAATATTGACACGCCTATTTTGTTGGTCGAAACAAAACTGCCTTCGTTTTATTCGCATTTATTCTTAAAGCATTATGTTTACTCCAAATATTAAGCTTTTTTAGTGTTTCATTCGCATCATCTATAAGATCCGAGGCGCTATCACCGTTAAAAAAAATAGACTTGCGTCATCAGCATAAATAACAAAGTATATGGATGGACTTATGTCATTTATATAAATGCTGAACAAAAAAGGCCCGAGAATACTTCCCTGGGGAACACCTGATTCAATCGGCTTGATTTCAGATAAGTGACCATTTATATTAATATGCTGCCTACGGAAGGATAAATATGATTGTAAAAGCTGATACACTCACCCACGAAATCCATACATGTCTAATTTTTTTAATAATAAATTGTGATCGAGATAATCGAATGCTTTGGTAAAGTCAATGAAGAAACCAAGCGTGAGTGCTCTTTTTTTCATTTTTTTTTTTTTAATATGTTCTTTTTGCACAAGAAGTGCGAGTTCTGTAGATCGTTGTTTGCGAAACCCAAATTGGGATGGCCTTAAAAAATGTTATGCTCATCAGCAAAAGCTGTTAATCGTAGAAGTATAATTTTCTCTAGGCCTTTAGAAAACACAGAGTATTGAAATAGGTCAGTAATTACCCAAGAAGTTTTTATTACCTTTCTTGTATAGAACGGTTACTTTAGCCAGTTGCATTTGTTTAGGGAACACACTGTCTAGCAAACATACATTAAATGTGTGCGTCAAAACAGGAGAAATAAGATCAATTACATATTTAACTGGTCTAATCTGTAAACCATCGGAATCACAACTTTTGCTATTTTTTAAAGCATTGAAGACAGATATTACTTCCGAACTAGTAACAGGCGTAACAAACAGAGTGATTATTTCGAACCTTTATGTACTTGCAAGCATCTGACTCATTATTTTCTTTAACTAGACTTAAAGTATAGTCATTAAACGCATTAGCTAACTCTCTTCCGGACACCTCCTGACCATTGAGGTTTAACTTTTCTACTTGATTTTGGGTCCATGAACGACCCAAGACAGAGTTTAACTTTCTCCATACAACGTGGACTTTGTTATTACAGGACAAAAATAAGTTGCAGAAATAAGATTGTTTTGCATGTCGTAGTTCTTGGTTTAGTTGGTTTCGATAACGTTTAAAAATTATAAATTTTTCAGTTTCTTTTGTTGTTACAAATTTTTGATATAGCGTATTTTTAATACCAATTTTTGCGAGCCATTCTTTAGTGATCCAGGGTTTACGACTTTTTCTAGAAGTTTTGAAAGTTTTGTATAGAAAACAACTTTCATAAAAGTTTTCTTCTTTTTTTTAATTTACTCAAAATTACGTTATATGCATTATCTCCGTTCTTTCCTTGGTGGACATCATTCCAATCCAAAGAAGATAGTATCTGCCTGAAGTTGTTCGGGTTATCAGCCGTTATAATCTGGAACTGTGCCGCTAACTGATTGTTTTGTTTGTTTGTAGCTTCGTTTTTATTTATAGACAAAAATATACCCAAATGATCGCTAATATCAGTTATTACTATGCCAGATTTCGTATGTGACTTATCGTAGCTTGTAATAAAAAAATCCAGTAGTGTCGATGATTCAGTGGTAATTCTTGTTGGAGCCGTTATCATATTCACACATCCGCATGTTTGGATCAGTGCTCCGAATCGCATTTTATTTGTTGTCTCAAGTAACATGTTAATATTAAAGTCGCCTCCCAGAATTATGCTATCTTTATTATTATTCGCAAACTCTAAAAAAGACTCTAAATAAGCAAAAAAAGACGAAACATTTCCACTGGGCGGACGATAACACATCTATAAACTATAATACTCTGCCCTATCAATAACGACAACATCTCTTAGTCTTCATCAATGAAAGAGTAATCGGTAAGCATGCATTTCACTGGCAAGGTCAGCCTTTATCATGATTGCTATGCCCCCGCGTCGGCTTTCTGTGCGGTTTAAAAAGTAACAGTCATACATTGGTAATTTTAGAACGTCATATAGAATCAGTGTACCACGTCTCTGAAAGCAAAATTGCACATTTCTCTCCAACTATCCAGCGGTATGAGAAGGTTGTGAATCTTTTGGCAGAATTACGTCCCAAATTCGACAGATTGTACTAAACACTGCAAACAAGACGGACAAACGGAGGCACGCATGAAATAAAAAGTGTACAAGCTTCAAGATGCTGACAAAGACTGGTAAGTACAGTAAGTGCGAGAAGCACCCAGGGAAGAAGAAAAGGACATCCGAACGGGCACTGACTACCGAAGGTTCGCTTCCATTTCTGACGAACGCCGTGAGATGGCATTACACGACAGGAAAGGTCGCGAAGCGTGCAACCACGCCTTCACGCGCCGCGCGGAGCTCGCTTTTCCGCGGTCCATACCGCCTACCCTGGATAGCCTCGGTTGGCAAAGCACTTGGCTCGAGGTGGCAAGTTCAAACTATGCAGGGGGACTAACGTATTTTTATACTTGCCGCCCAATGCTCCAGAACACCATGAAAATCGGCTGATAAAACCCGTGTTAAAATTGATTACTCGGGACTTCTGGCTAATTTATGGCGATGTCAAATGAAGGAGATATGCGCACATCCTTTGTCGTTGAACAAAGAACAAATATAAAATTTACCCTAAAACTTCACAATGAATATTTATTTCTCGAGAGTGATTGGCGGAGAAGACTGACGATAAAAGGAAAAAAATGTTGCGATCTAAAACTAGCAGGGTATGTGACAGCATGCAAAACATCACGAGCAGTGTCGAATCACGGGCCGAACTGTTTTTCCAATAATAGAGAGTTTTAGTAGATCGTTCCGATACCTCCGATAACCGTGATAACGATACTATGCATGCGCAATGGAGGCGGTGGCGGAGTATCGAAAATCGTTATTGGAGTCATGGGAACGATCTACTAAAAGTCCCTAATAGCACTCACTGTACTTTCATCTTGTAGATTGTATCATGATTGCATCATGATTGCATCATGATTGCAAATCATGGAGCCGAACCGTTTTTCCAATAATAGCACTCACTGTACTTTCATCTTGTAGATCGCAGTAATCTGTTTTGTGAAGGTCGCACTCGGCGTTTCCGTACCGTATGGGTACACAGTCAAAAGTCCGGGCTTGTTATCGATAAGATATGACCTGAAAGTTTCAGTTTTTCTCGAGCCGTATTCACAACTTCCTCCATCGGCACAGAAGCTACTGACCATTTAGGTAGGTGCACATTTTCTGTCGTACACAAATGTTCGAGTCGAATTACTTTTGATTGTGCTTGGGTAGATTGCCTGTGCCACTCAACAGTGCTGCGGACTGACATTCTGGAGCACTTCAAGAATAGTTGCAGCGTTCCTCAAGCCGCACGTCTGCCTACCGACAACCCTACCACCCAAGACCTTAAAAATGTAAGCACAGCTTGTGAAGATCTCCGAGGACATCATGTCGCTGCAGCAAGTCTGAACCGGTGCGGTGAAGATGTGAGAGCTGAGGGTACAAAGTGCAAGGGCCAATTAGAGGCTGAAGCTTCTAGGCTCACTGAGCAGCTAAATGACCTTAGCACAGTCTGTGCCACTGAATTCACCGAGGGACAGCAGGTTTTTCAGGGAGCAATGGCTGACTACAAAAAGCTTGTGAGTGAGGAGCTCTGTTTGCAAACCCGTACGCAAATGTCAGATATGGCCCTGATATATTTTATATATGGCCATATATGATAATATCAAAAGTCCAATATAGCAATATACCGCTGTATATGGGAGCAAATACGGTCAGACATCGCCATATGAGTGGGCCAATACTGCCAGATGTGGCCATATAAGTGCGTAAATATGGCCATATATCGCCATATACGCCTGCAAATATAACCCCTGATAATGATATATCGGCCCCTTTCGGTCGTGCAAGCAATAAGTCATATGTACTCGCCAAGACACTAGTTGATTGATCTA